CCCCCCCCCACACACCTCTTCTTTCTCTGTCCCACAAAGGAAATAAAATTATCTGATGTTCTGTATGGCAACATTGGTCTAAATGGACACAGTGAAGTGACCTAAAGACAGGCTTATTGTATACATAAAAAATGCAGGGTTTGGTTGTTTGAACTGCATTAGCATTAGAATGAAAGCTTGCATGGTGAGTTAGTTAAGGTGACCATGCAGAACTTTGCAGGGTGTCTGTTCCTTGGAAATCCAAAGAGCTGGGAATTCTTCTCCAAGCTATAAATAAATAAATCTGTCTCCTGAGCAATTAATGCACACAGGAGACTGGGCAACATTTAAGCTTTTGGGGCTATTTAAAAAAAAATCCATTTGGTGCCTTTGGTGGTGTATTTCAGGTTTGTTTGTTTATCATTTGGTTATTTTAGCTGAAAGATCTTGATAAGTAAATTTTCATCATGGCACCACATTGAGGTTGAATCCTACACTAAATGTAGAAATGCCTTGCACTGAAACTCTCTCTCTGAAACGTCTTGTCTTTCAGAAATATCTAGGAATCTCAGGCAACTTAACATGGAGACTGCCCTGCAGCGTGGGAAGTCCTGTCATTCTGGCATCCTGCTAGTGTTAGTTGTCTCTCAGACACCAAGCTGATTTGCTTGGAATTCATTAACAATGATCCATATAGGGTGTGTGCACATGCAGTGAGTTATCACTGGTGTCACTTTCAGAGCTTACGTACACTGATGTATGTTGTACCCTGGGCAGAGCAGTCGGCTTTCCTCACGTAGCTGCCCACAGTAGCTATTACTACAAGGCTTCACCAGTTGGTAGTGGTGGGCTGTTAATACTCTATTTGCATTGAGCAAATGGGTACCCAAGGAGGAAATTAACTAGCGTTGCAGAGGCAAAAACCATGCATGGGCAGAAAATTGTTCCTGACTTTCCAAGGAGTTATGTGTACTCCAAGTAGTGTGGCTTAAATGGGTGTATGGCTATATGTTGTATGTCTGCTCCCTGTTTACTCCAATGGAAAAGGCAGGCTAAACTGATATAAACATGCCTTGTGTTTGCATCCACAGAGCTTTTCATCCAGGGATCTCACAGTGCTTTGCAGGCATAAATTAAAGCTCATGACAGGCCTGTGAGGCAGATACTCATTAACAACAAATGAGTAAGATCATAACTACATATGGTTATGATCATATTGATACAGAGTTAGAAGGTGTCT